TTTACCCCTATGAGTCCCCAGTAACCTTCCAGGGATGCTCACAAAAGACTTTAAACTGTTTTCCAGATCAATAACACATCCATCGAAAAGCAGTGGGATTTACCGTGAAAGTATCTGTCACTTCATCGTTTCCAAACATACAAAGTCATGTTTTTCATTATCAACAAAAATCATAGATAACCCTTCACATCCATTACATCAAGATCTTATCAAGTTTGTTTCCTCTTCCACCCAGTCCCGTTATATGTGTATATTTGCTCGTACGACCGCTTATCGGTCTTCTGTGGTGCCCTATCTTGCCCGATTTCTTCTCAGCGCAGAAAGCATTGCTTGGGACCTTTACTCAGTTGTCTCGTAAATTGTATTCATTTTCACTGCTCACGATAATTATGTATTACTTTTGTTCGATAATTGTTAGATGACTATGTGACTGCTGAATATCCACCTTTCGGGGTGCATAAAGCAAATACTTGACTTGACTTGACTTGAATTGACTTGCATAATTATACCGTTAATGTGTGTCAATGCTTCAATGATTTTCAGGAGGAATGATGTGTTCAGTCATATTTGCAGTGTAGTGCGCCACAACTGTATTCATGAATGTGTGCTTACATAATTTATTAGCAATTCTATGTTATTCCTTAGTATAAACAAATCATGGATAATCATGGCTCGAATGGTTTTGGTTCATCCGGAAACACTTTGTAACTTTTCTGCATTGGCTTCAGGGGATAAAAAAGCTGACATAACCGGATCCGATCCCCCAACCAACGTTCTAGTAGTTGAAGAAATGATGGTATGTTCTCCGCAAATTAAAAAAAATAGACAATATCTTGAACCGAACGCTGTCTGTGGTCAGTAATAATTCATGACGAAAGTGTGACAATAAATTAGGTAATCGGATAGAGTGATCAATCGTTCAGAATAAACAACTCCGGTGCTGACAATGATAATCAAAAAAATAAAACGTGCCTAGTATTCCAGTATGCAGCATTAGTATATCTTTTAGAAAACGAAATCGAGAACGGCCGAAGGATGTTCACATTCAGCGGGGAAACCATATGAACTGTCAGGATGTTCAAGTCAAAGAAGTGCAACGAAAATCTACAACTGAAATAGTGCCTTCAACGGTTGTCAGTCGTCATCGGAAAACCTGTAAGGGTGTGACACTCAGCTGGATAAACAGTGGAACAGTTTTTCTGAGACATCTTGCAATATAATAGAGAACCATTCGAATTTCTTATATGAACTCAGCTTACATATCAAAAAAATTGCTTAACTATTTTTTTAAAGTAATCAAGCCTGAATATTCTATAAATCGTAAGATGTGGTTTTTATTCATCTGAAGCTTACCCGTGACAATAAGTGTCTCCAGAGGAGTGTTCTCAGTCAAGAGATTCTTGAGTAGTGATGCACCTTGGAAATTCATTCCAATACAGGAAATGTCCTAAAATGTATGATGAATAAGGAAACCTTTTAAGCTTATGTGGTCTGGAATTGTATTATTTATCATGCGATATCTGGTAAAGATGTGCGTAGTAATCTTACCCAAAACCATATGAGAATATAAATATGGGACACAACTGCCTAAGGAGCATTGCGCAGATTCATTTGCCTCGCCTGGAACCATTCGGACTGAAGTACTATGTACCAGCGACAGCTATTCGGAGTACGGTGTTCATATAGTTTTGAAGCCTATCCCGAGAAATCTTTCGCGAGATAGATTTTGACGGATCACTTTTCAATTGGTATTGTACTAAGTCAACCCAATTTTCCTTTCATCTCCGCTTGTGAACAACGTATGGCCAAGATCACATCCACGATATGGATACTGAACGTTTGACATGAAAAGCGTGCTTCACTGTGTCAATCAGAATACAGATGCTGGAGGTGCTAAATTACGTGGATTAAGAGACGGTCAATTGACTGCATATCCGGATTAGGCTTCCATAAATATCGGTATCCTCTCGAATAATTATACCGTGGTGGCATTTTGAGCCATAACTGTGACAAATTTGTGCGCAGGTGAATCTAAGAAGTGGTTCAAACACAGGTAACCGTGGAGCAAAGTGATTGATCCCTACCTGTGGTGTCTACAGCGAATAGTGCACAATGCTGCTGCTGCTGCTGACGTACATCTTCACAGTAACAACAGTTCCGTCTTGATAACTATCCACATTACTGCCAGTTATAACAACTATCACTAAAATAAAAGTATACGTAGACCAGGGCAATTCGAATTGAGTTTCTTCCCAATAACTTACCAACGATTTAAGAAAGATGGATTCTAACATTAGTGGTTTGAGCAGCTGCAATCCCTCGGTCCGAATGTCATTGAAACTCACATCCAGTTCACTCAATCGATACGATTTCTGTGTTGCAAATAAAAGGAATTAACAAAATCAATACTAATTTACACTTCCATTGATGCATTATTTTCAAGAACATATTATTCGGGTAAATAATAATTTCAAATCGTGGTAAAATAAATGAATTTCCACTTTATCCGACTTGTAGAACAAAGCATTCCGCTCAACCCATGCGTGAGAAATAACCCGGGATGTTTTATGAAACTAACCGGTGTAAAAAATAACAATGAAAAATGCGATCCGTAATGAATATCGTTAACTTTATTCTCTCATTCTAGGTCTGCGATTATCCGATTCCATAATTGATTCATTAGCCAATGGTATCACACGCATATTGGTGATACACAATAATAGTGAGTGTAAATATTTGAGTTTACATTTCCGTGAACAACTAAATAAATAGTGATGCATATTTTACATAGGGATATATGAAGAAAGTGACCGAGAGAGCTTAACTGATCCGTTGTACATGATCTCGCCTTTGCAATCGCCTAAACGAATGGACATATGATAATCTGAAACTTACAGCATTAGTGTATAAAGGGACGTCAATCACACACAAAGGTCATAGCAGTTACTTCAAGCGTTTGACACAATTTATTCATTGGAAATAATCAGATAGTCTTTTGAAAGGTTATGTAGTTGGGCAAAAGAGGATTCAAACAACAAGTTTGATAAACAAAGAGCGTTCTAACGTTTGTCTTACTTTTACGCAAACCTAGATTATTGTTCACGGTTCCTTGAGACGAAAACCTTCGAATCAGATAATGCAGTATTTTCGAAATACTATTTAAAATATCAGAGTAGGATAAATTCAAACCCAAGAATGATCCAGTTGTATTCGTGGTAAAATGTTTCTCCTAGGCAAAATCATCCTATAACGCATACTGGGAATGATACACTGTTCACAGAACTTTCAGACAGTTATTAGTTAGTTGAGTTTGTATTATTTATCAACTATAATTGTTTCCGTAAATTTTAATAAATACGATTTTACAATTTGTTGACAGTCAGTACATGGACCGCGGCAGATCATGAGCTGCCCGGAGAGGAGATGCATACGGATGGAGCGAATTTAAGCGATTGTGCGGGGTGGCTCCGATTTGTACTCACGATTTCATTGATGATACGGTGGTTACCTTAACCACTGGATCAACTTCACCTGTCCATTGCTAATAGGTTCACAATATTTGAAAGGAATCCAATAAACGGGGAGCTTATGTAAGTTAGGAAGTTCCAAGCAGAGTTGCATATCTGACTTGCTGATGTCACTGGTTGTAACCCCCTATAGAATCACTTGTTTTTGCAAATGCTTTTTTTCATTTTTGAATCAGTTATCATTGTTGATTTTGTGAATGCCTTCAAGGCTTTAGCTTGGACAAAAATTAAACCAATCCATCCGATATAAACCTCTAAAGTTACTAAAGTTAATTTTCAAATTCGAGTTTACGACTGATGCGTATCCAGTTTTGCCTCTGGCATTGCTAAAAAGATCGCGTAGCAAAGGATATCAAAATTAATTGCATATATTGTTATATTGCCATCTGAGTCTGGTCAATGGCTTCCTAAGAGCGGGTTATGTGCCATCAAATTTTGTTTAAGAGTAGATGAATCAACGGAAATCCTATCTATCTCATTAGGAAATTTCTCTACAGTATTGGTAAACTCGTCCATGACAATCAGTGAGGGAGCATCAATAAACATTTACGAAGTGGTAGTTCGATGACAAATAACGGACTCAAATGTGGGTATTGCGCACATGAATTTAGGTTGATGTTTCGGTAGAACCAACAGAATGGCATACATTGTCGATTTACTAAACACATTCAATTGACCGAAAACTGTTCACATCTCCAATCAAGACTAAATGACCGAATTGCAGTTATCAGCCTTATCCCTTAATAGATACTTCTGATACTAATGCCGTGAGCCGGCACCCAAGCCGTTTAATTGCACACATATCGATTGATTTACACTCGTCCGTAAAAGTGTGCAGTAATTGTTCTCATGCATGGACTTCCGTGTCCGAGTAGTAGCTTCACGCAGTGAGAGTTTAATCGCGTTTGTGACTGGAAACAGTTCCTGGTTTCTGTATTCCAACAACAATTCACTAGTGTGAAATATTAGTCACACCAGGACCAATAGGATGTAGGATTCAAAATGAAATCCGGATCGGCTTCGAAGTGACCGGGAACCAGGAATATCAACAACCACAAAGCTTAGGTAACTCGTCAACGTGTTCAAGGCTAAAAAGGTCACGTGCACGGACTGTGTGATTTCGTCGTCGAAGCTAACACATCGGTCTGACAGCACGTGGCGTATTCAGTGTATTTGGGACATATGTTAGATACCCGTGGC